AGTTGTACCCTCATCATAATTGTAAACATTGTTAATTATCTAATAAAAAGCCCCCGGCCATAGAGATCACCTTAACAATAAAAAAAAAAAAAAAAAAAAAAAAAAAAAAATTTTAAAAAAAAACAAGAAATATAAAAAAAAGCTGCTATAGCAAATTATATCTGGGTTTTTATAGAAGTTAAATAAGCTTTTATTAGTATTAAAAAGTTTTACTATGTTAATTAATATAGAGTTAAAATATTGTATAATTGCTATACTATCCTTAGTTAATAAAGGCAAAATTGCTAAAAAAAATAAAAAATAAAAAAAATTTAAATATAATAACTTGTATATATATTCTATAATTTAATATTATTTTTTGCTATAATTTAATTTAAGCTTTATAAATTAATTTATTTCACATTTACAGTATTAATTTAGTAATCAAGTTTGTTTCACAATATACTGTACTTAAATTATTTATTCTACGTAGAATAGTTTTTATTAGTAATAATAATTCACAAAACAAGATATTAAATAACATAATATATTTAACTTAAGAATAAGTTGATTTTAGACATCATTATTTTAGAATTTAAAGTCGAAATACTGTATTTCTACATAGTAAATCAATTTCGACTAACAACACTACTGGGAATTATATTACTTTAAATGTTAATATAAAAAAAAGCTGCAACACAACATATTTAAAACTTTTAAGATCTATAACTTTAAATTTGCATAGTGTTAAATAATTGGATTGAAGTTTGAAAAAAAAGCTGTTGGTTGAAATTATAAATAAACTTAATTATTTTAGTGCCTTTACCTTTACTTTGAAGTTGATACAATTAATGCTAAGAATTAATAAATAATGTACGCACAGAATAATTCTAAGCACCTACAAACGTTATTTACATATAATGGGTGTCGTGTCGTGCATATGTAAGTTATTATATTCTCCGTATATAGGTAACAAGATTATTTTCCTGGTTTAATCACGATAAATGAGTTATTTATTTAATTCTGATAATTCACGACACCGACAAGATCCTGAAAGTTTAATAAAGCCACGAATTTTATGGATTACCTCTTATGAACCTTCGGAATCTTGAATCTTCGAAATCTCGAGACACATATATAGTACAAATAATATTTACAAAATAAACGTACGTACGTACATACCGTAAGTACGTGCGTACTTATAATGTTAACCTAAAAAATTTAGCAGACAAATCAAAATTCAATATCAGATAGAACGCATATTAAATGTCCTAATTAAAGTTGACGGCCGAAAAAAAAGGATACTTTATCGAAACCGAAAATACTTCGACAATAAATAAATAAATATATTTATTTATTTATTGATTTATTTATTTATTTATTGACTTATTTATTTATTTATTTATTTTATTTTATTTTATATATATTATTTTATATATATATATTATATATATATATATATATATATATAAAGTAAAAATTTTATTCGCCGAAAGTATTTCGGCACGTCAAAATACACCTTTAATTTAATAAAAGATTTTTTACGAATTTTTGGTGTATCATAACCTTTAATTCTAATTTAACAGCAAAAAACCTATCCTAGCCTAACGGAAATTTTTGAAAATGTGATACTAAGATCTATGAAAAAAGGCGTATACTGTATCTTTAATTGTAAGATTACATTATCTGATCTAGTTTATCTTAGTTATCGAGAAACATATATTACTCTTATTTTCATTGATTTGAATAAAATTTTATGATATGCCTTGGCAGCGTCGTCAATCAAAACGATACATAGTGAGATTCGACAAATTGTTACACGAAATAATAGGTCATGTCTAATCGTAACATGGGTGTCGCTAATCAAACATATATAGTATTGCTTTTTTATTTTAATAAAAAATAATAACTCCCATGCTACATGACCTACCGTATTTCGCGGGCTAAACCACCCTCTTCTGTGCAATTTTACAGCTTTATACATCAGCGTTTGAATATTATATTTGTGCATATTTTGTACTCATATCATATGCTAATACCATATTGATAACAATAAATGACTATTAATATTAAAAATATCTAGATAACGATAAAAGCTGGTAAATATTTTACAGGGAGGGTGGTTTAGCCTGCGAATACGGTATTATTTTATCATTTCGTGTAACAATTTGTCGGATCCCACTATGTATCGTTTTGATTGACGATACCCCATTTAATTCTTTGTTATGACCGAACAAATAGTACGTAATAAAGCTTTACATTATTTGGCGCATATAATGAAGGTTGAAGCAGTATTTTTAATTTAAATGTTAAATTAGATCTATTCACATAAGAACTTAGATACAAAAAAAAATATATATATGCAATATTGCTTAATAAGCTAATAATTGAAAATATCGATATACCGATACTAAATAAAGATGCAGGGAGTTATTGGACGCATTAAAAAGATGCACCACGTATTGTAGATTTATGGATTGATTATTGCAAGCATTTTCATAAAAAATCCTAACGCAAAAAATCATCAACTTTAGTCACGCAGGGTCGATTAGATGTTAATTACTTGCAGTATTGACACGAATTTCTACGTAGAATTAATAAGAGAACTGTAACATAAAAAAAAACATGAGGTTAATACAATGTATATGTTTTTGGACTTCATTTTGTAATCATACATGCTTGTTTATATACAAATACACAAGTAATTTAATAGAGGTGGCCAAGTACTCAAAAGTAATATAACATTTCGCATAACGGAAATATTATTTAACAATACGCATTGTTTTTGATTGATACAACCAAAATGATCGCCTCGAAACGTTTCCAACAAGCTTAAGACTGATCACAGGGTCACAAGATTATAATATTTTTTCGACATGCAAAGAATCATGAATCCATAATTTTCCATAACGATAACAATAAAATTCTGGGCGATAATTCAAGGATTCAAGGTCATGTGTGACTGAATTATGATATTTAATTTTTAATGCTGGTAATCCCAATAAATTCTTAAAATTTTTATCAAAAAACAAAAAAGACGGAGAGAGAGAAAGAACCTTTATCCAAAAATCTGCATTCCCGATCCAAGAGTCCTTAATGATCTCGTGACCCTGTAATTGATTTGAAATCAAAAAAAAAAAAAAAATCGCTGTCGAAGATAGTGTGATTATTAATAGTAGTTCCAAGAAGCTGGTTGAGATAACCAATTATAATTCAAGCCTTTCTAACTAGATCTTCATTAAAAATTATGAGTTTTTACATGGCAGTTTAAAGCTGGGGTTTACAACCAGGGTTATTGGAGTAAAAAAGATAAAACTCCAACTTTGATATATGATTTGTCAGATAATCGCTGTTATCTCGTTGGAGATAAGGTCAATGTCAAGAGCGTTACTAAAAAATAATAATTATTATTATTATTTTTTTTAACGCAAACATCAATAAACAAATAAACTCAAGCTTTACACAAATGTCCGCTTACCAACCACTGTAGAATCATTCGATTCTGTCTAGAGCTTAAGACAAATCCAGTACGCGCATGATTAAACCAATAAAGTTAAAGTAATGTAATAATGAGTACTTACCTGCATTATACCTGTTTTCTTCCTTTAGATCTAATGCGGTACGCACTAAAACTCTACTGCAGTAAATAGTCCTAAACGATGAAACTTATCGCGTGTGGAAACGTGAATGCAAGGATTTGTACTATTAAAACAAAACTAATAGATTTTTAACCAATAGTTCTTACGTGTCGTTTTTTATACCTAATAATAACTTATCTCTTCTTAAAGTAACTTATTTAACTTCATGAATCCATATAAATATATCATCAAACCAAATTCAACCTTAAACTTCTTTTTTCTCGATAAATTATTCTGACCTAGTTTTTCGGTAAATTCTTAAAAAATTTACCAAAAAACTATTATCACTCTTTTATAACTTTGAAAAGCTTTTGTAATCATTATTAGTAAAAATGAAAGGAAAAATTTCTCGTACAGTTAGCTTTTGCAGAGAAAAAATGAAGATTTCAATTTATGCTATTGCAGTTGCTACAGCAACTTTAGCATTACCTGCACCTAAACATGTTGAGGTGGATCAAAAGGATTCCAAAATAGATTGTAAAGTAAACAGCGATAAAGGTTTGTTTTAAAATTTATTGATTGACTTTATTGGTTAAAAATTTTTTTTTTAATTTCCCAATTTCTAATAACGCTTGTTTTTTTTGTAGCTGGAAAACGTGATAAACCATCGAAAACTCCAAATCCTCCCATAGTAATAATCGAACCACATCTGTCTCCCGAACCACAACCTCAAAAATCAACGCCACCGCCTCAAAATTTAACAGTAAAACCTAAAAAATCTCTTTATAATTGGCATCCTAAAGTGGTTGATCGAAATAATCCTCCTCCACCAGACAGACCTGAACGTCGACATTCGCATCAACCAATATCTTATGTTGATCAACCAGAAATTGAAAGACGACGATCATATAATCCTATACAGCCTCCACGGCCTGATTCTCCAACAATTCCCACTGCTGATTTTGATGATAATGGAGAAAGAAGGGATGATATGAATAAAATACTAAAGACTAGTAATCGTATATTACCTTCTGTAGTTATTGATTCACGTTGATTAGATCTGTTTTTGGTTGCAACAAGGCATATATTTTTGCTAGAATTTCATTATTAATATACTTATTTACATACCTAACTGCACTTTGTATCTATTTTTAACAATTTTCACATATCATCATTGTATCTATCATGACAATATGACAGTTATTTCATTGATTCTAAACAATTTTATTTTTCTTACAAAAGATGGGCTGTCATTGTTTGTAAGTTAGTGTTATTTCTTTTTTTTTTTTTTTTTTTTTTTGGTTTACTTTTGTTTTATTAAACATTCTATGCAAACATCCTTCTTTTTTTGTATACAAGCGTGTATGAAATGATACTTTTTTCAATTTGCATAAATGGACTGTATTAATATTTAATCTATACAATAGTGATTATGGTGATTCAATTGTGCAATTTCGCTATCGTTATTAATCCCGAAAATTCAAATCTCAACAACTTATCATACAGTTCTGCATACAGTACCACTTGCATCGAGGTACTATTCAATTGTAGATATTATCATTTTGAAAGGTATCCGATACTATGATAATCAAATAGCCCGTCCTATTATACGATCAACTCACACTCTTCAGTATACCCTTTGTATAGCATTTCTTCATACAGTGCCCCGGATGTATTTTTAATTTATCTTGGCATTTTTGAAAACCGGGTACTACTATATGCAGCGTTGTACGGTAATAATTTAAATAATCAAAATTCCGGATTTTTTGCAGATTAATAATACATTTTATTAGAATCACCTATACTGTAAGAGATTCGTTCTTTTTACTTAGAGTCCCCAAGGTGTTGCTCATACGGTCAGTTTCACATTATAGACTCTGCAATGAGCTCAAAATATAAAATTTACGGTCATTATAGAGTTCATTACATAATCAAACATACCTGGTTTATTGCAGAGTCGGTGTGATTTACATTATAAATTACGATCTCTAGAGGTCCGATGAATAATATATTCGAATATATATAATTGTTAAACTGAATTGAATATTCGAATATAAAAATTTTTCACCAAATAATTCAATGAATATACACTATCTAATCGACCAATTAAAAGATTGTGTGTCATATGCCATGCTTAATTTTATATACTGATTGGTTAGCAATGCTAATAATCATGCGCCCAAAGTAGATGAACAAGATAAATCCTTATTAGCTAGAAGTTTATATCGATTTATTATTTTTGTACAATATACGTATAGGCGATGTGAATGCACTAATACTCAAATAATAAATCATAGTTAATGATTTGGTAATAGTTTAAGCATAATTTGTGAAATCTTACTGTGACATTAATGTCACCTTTTCAGACGTACGTTCGTACGTACGTATGTATGTACTAATTTATCCGTGTAACAAAAATATTCATTAACATAGATTTCATATGCAAAATTTATTTTATAATAGAATCGATAGTTGTTGTAATTGTATTAGAGTAGCGGGAAGGAACTTCCATCTTATAGTCTAGGTCGGCAGGCATGATCTTTTATGCTTTATTTCTCCTTTGAAGCAGCCGCAATCTTGAAACAAATAAGTTTTTTGTTGTAGTTCAAGTTTTTTGCATTTATTTGTATATATCAATTTGATTATCTGTTTTACATTACCCCTCTACTTCATAGTAAAAAAAATTTTTCTAGTTAGACCGGGAATTTCTGATGTAGACAGTGAAAAAACCTAAAATACGAGTGTGGTCGAGCAAAAATTTAGGAAATGGTCCAGGGAAAATTTAGCTTAGAAAATAGGGCAAAAAAATTTATATATATATAGACGTTCAAACCCACCCCCCTCCCCAGAAGGTAGAGGGGTAATGTAAAACAGAGAATTAAATTGGTGTTGCCTAACTGTTTACAGCTGTTTTCAAAAAGATGCGGGAAACGATTTCCATGTACCCGTGTGTCGAAGAATGTGGAAATTCTGCTTAGTAAAAATTAAAAATCCGATTATAGCGGGTCTTAAAGACTCTGGGAATATCGTGAATTCCCCATGGTATAGTGATCTGCGTCTTCCACAAATTTTTTGAAAACGGCTGTAACAACAGAAAAGAAATAATAATTTTCTTGAAAAATATATTTCTGGTCAAATTTTATCTATTATAGGAATATAATTATTCCACCTCATACTCCTCGAACCCAACACCTCTATCAATTGCTTGTTGCTTTTGATTACAAAGGCGGACAACTACATTGTTATTCCAAAATAATGTATAACTATGTATCCAGGAAATATGGTATTCACCTCGAAAATGGCGTAAATTATAATTATTAACATCATCATGCATAACCATCCGGCACCTGGACATTGTTGTTATTAACGAAATAAATTCTTGCAATGTCCGCGTTCAAGCTTGAGATTCTCATTTTGGTGTTGTTATCAATCGTGATAATATAAGTTTTACTATCGATTGATTTAAGGATCGAATCCTCACTGATCCTTGAAGGATTGGACCGGTCCGGTTAGGATTCGATCCTAAAGGACCGATTAACATCTCTAGGTTTTAGTAGGAATGTACGACCTCCAAGCATATCTTCGGGAACTTCTTTGTTGACGTATTCTGTTGCCATTAATTAATTGTTTCATATAATAAGTAACGAAGTATTTACAATCTAAGAAACTTGTACAACACTTACTTTTGCGCTTTACACCAACACTACCCTTGATAGTAATAATTTTATTTTCGT